GAAAAAACAGCTTAATTGAGATATAATTTACATACTATGAAATTCACCCGTTTTGCGTGTACGATTCAGTGACTTTAGTAAGTATATAGAGTTATACAGCCATCACCACAATCCAGTTACAGAACATTCCCATCATCCCAAAAGCTGCCTGTGTGTGTGTTTATGGTCTAATCCCTGTTGCCACACCCCGGCCCCAAGCAGTGACCATTCCACTTTCTGTCTCTATACATTTGCTTTTTCTGGACATTTCATGTGAGAGGACTCATACAGTATGTCTTCTGTGTCTGGCTTCTTTCACTTAACATGATGGTTATGTGGTTCATCCATATGGTAGCCTGCAAAAATAGTTCAATCCCGTTGGTTGCCGAATAGCATTCTGCTCTTTGGCTCTGCCATGTCCCCTTTGTCTGCTCATCAGTTGATGAGTTTGAGTTGCTTCCAGTGTGGGGCTTTTATGAATAATGCTGCTATGGACACTCATGTGCGTGTCTTTGTGGGAGTATGTTTTCCTTTCTCTTGGGTAGACTCCTAGGAACAGAATTGTTGGGTCATATGATAGATTTATGTTTAACATTTTAAGAAACTTCAAGACTGCCTTCCAGTGTGGCTGTACCAGCTTAGCTTCCCACCATTGCTGCACAAGGGTCCCGGTTGCTCCGCGTCTTTGTCGACACTTGGCGTTGTTGGTCTTTTCTATTGCAGCCATCCTAGTGGACAGGAAGGGGTGGCTATCTATGGTTTTAACTTGCATTTCCCTGGTGGTAAATAATGTTGAGTGCCTTGCGTGCTTACTCCTCAACTGGGGTTTGGATTTTAAAGCCAGGGCTTGGGAAACTTTTTCCTACCAAGGGCCAGACAGTAGGTATTTGGGATTGTGTGGACCACATTCAACTTCTGTCACACATTCTGTGTTTATCTTCCTTCTCAACTCTTAAAACCCATGAGACCATTCTTGATTTCATCACATAAGTTTAGGCAGGGGACTGGGTTTGCCCCATGTGCTGTCATTTGCCAACCATGCTTCAAGGCAGTGGCTTTCTATGTGACACTAGGCCTTGTGCCCTGCCATGAGATGGTTCCCAGGCCCTGTCTACCCCCTGCCTTAAAGCTCATGGGGTCCACACTAGACAAACCACCAGGCCACCCACCCCACATGGCAAAGTGGGCTTAGATGGAGGACCATGTTCCAAAGCTGAGGGCGGGTCTCCAGGGAGCCTGGATTCAGGGTTCCAGAGGCATTCTTGTCCCAGCCCCACCATGATTCATCGCCCGATGAGCTTGTCAGAGTTCCTGGGACAAAACATGCTAATGTGTCACCTGAGGTGGAACTGGGCCCTCTTGACCCTAGGCAGGCCTCTCCCTCGCTGTGGCTGCCTCTTTTGGGAACAGGGGCTGACCTGCACCCCATACCTGTGACACCACAGCCCCACCTCCCCACTGCTTCCACCAGCCCCTCCCATGGCTTCCCCACCTGGCCTCCATTCTCACAGCCTTGTGGCTAGTTGCTGCTCTCATCCTAGGCCCCAAAGCGTGCTGGACACCTTCTTCAGCATCTCTTGGCAAAGCTGGTTTTTTGCTCCTCCCAACTGTGTGACTCTCGCCCATGTGATAGAAAGAGCTTTGGACTTGATCGGAGCCAGTTCTGACTCCTGAAATGTTCCTCTCTAGCTGTTGGATTCTAGGCAAGTCGTTCCACCTCTCGGCCATGACAGGCTCACGTGTGACCAGAGGATGCTGACATGCCTGTAGCAAAAGTGCGCCTGCTCACCTGTTCTCTTGGCACTGGTCAGTAGCCCTAGGTGCTCACCGTGAACACCCATGGTCCTGCCTGGCCACGTGGTTTCTTCTGGCTCTGAGAGCTCTTTGGCCTGGGCATAGAGTGGTCAGAAGTGCTGGAGAGTTGGGGAAGTTGGTGGACAAATGCCTGACTTCCTGCTGCTAGGTGGGTCAATTCTGAGGCGTGACCTGCACTGTCTCCTAGGGTGCCTGGCCTGATTGAGCACCTGCTGCCCACATTATAGTGCTGAACGATGCCCCATTTCCTGTCTTCTCTTCCCCATCTCACTTTCCCACTGGTGTTCCCTTAATCCCATCTTAGAACAGTAAACCATTTGCACTCAGGTCTACTGCAGTGGGGATTAACCTATGACAAGGCCCCAGCTCATGGGTTATTTGAGGATTGAGTGAGATCAAGCTCATAGGAGCCAGCACAGTGCCTTGGCATGTAGTATGTGCTCATTAAATGTTAGTCCTTGTTACATCCACTGGACCTTTTGGTTTCGAATGCAGCCCTGTGGACTGTCTCCCATGGACACCTCTGAAGTAAGGACCCAGACCCTCATGGAAAAGCTGTAGCCCTTTCTGCTCTAAGGAGGGCGACTGTTGGTGGGTGCTGAGGCTGAGTGTCCTGGTGCCAGTGGCTCATCTTGAAGCTACATCAGTGTGGGTGTTGCCCAGTGGGCCCCGCCCCTGCATCTTGAGTGATGTGTGTGTAGAGAACAGGAGATTGTACTCATGGCCACCCACTGCACGGGCTGGTTGCATTTTGCAGAGTTAAAATGAGAGTTGTCTGGAATGATGTTCACCAGATATTAATGGTGGCTATTTCTGGGCTGTGGGATTTTTGAGGCCTTTTTAAATTTATCTTCCTCTTTGTGATTTTCAGTATGGTTTAAATATTTTACAATGAGCATGCCTCATCTTTACCAAAAGAATGAAGTCATTATTCTTTCAAAAGTAAATAAGTTGCAGCTGGTCAGAAGCGAGTGCTCTCAGGGCTTAGACCACATCACATCTAGAATCGACCATGGAAAAGTCATGGGTGTGGGTCACTGTGGTTTTCTTTGGAGCTTAATGTATGGTGATTTTTTTTGGTGATTGTTTCATGGTCTTTTAAAAATTAAGCAGCTCTCTGGGTGTAGACTACAACCACAGACTCCAGGGCTGAAAGGAGAGTCCGTCCCATATGATGGACGGGTTCCTGCCCTGCACACTGTGTTTTGCACAGTGGCTGTGTGGCCCAGGCAGTGCCGCCTGCATACAGTGTTGGACAGGGTAACCTCCACTGATGGTAACTAGGGAGGAGGCTGGTTACAGTCCAGAGAACCCTCGGTGGACCCGGCGCGTGTTGTCGTTAGAGTAAAGGAGCTCATCAGATAGTCATCGTCACCTTCAAACTCCATCACCCAACACTCCCCAACAGGCCTCCTAGGATCTCCCTGACAGAACTTGTCATGCGTTCGCTCCAGGCCTCCTAGGATCCGAAATGAGCAAAAGTGAGAGCTTCCGGCTGCTTCCCTACACTGCCCGAAACACGCTGGACTGCCCTTGCCTCCTCTGCCCTCTAAGAAGTGCCAGACCCTTTCTAATGCTTGGTGTGAAATGGGCGAATGGGCAAAGAGCAGTGAGACCAGGGAGCCAGGAGGCAGGCAGGGGGATGAAAAAACAGAAGGAAGAAGGCAGGAGAGAGGAGAGGGGAGATTCTGCGAGAAAGGTCCGGGTGATGAGGGAAGGGAAGCCCTTTGGTGTGAGTTCACAGGGCCACTGCCCGCGGGACGGGGTGATGAGGGAGTTGGGGGCGCCAGAAAAGCATGGGGTGTGAGAGGAGGAAGCAGGGATGCTGCCGGTGTTGCTGGGACCCCTCCCATCCCTTTAGGTTTTTCAAGAGAGAGATGAAACGTCAGAGCTCCCTTTCCTTAGCATTGGCTGTTCTGTTTGGATTGTGCTTCTGAATGCAGCTCCATGCAGGGTGGACCATGTGGGTCCCTAATTTGATGAGGGTCATACATTGAAAGAAAGCTGCAGGTATTTTCATGCCTGATTTGGGAAAAGGAACCTGCTGCTCAGTAGGCGAAGTCTTTATAGGAAGAACCAGGCCGTCTGACTCCAAATTCTGCCTCCAGTCCCCCCCGGTTGCCTCCCTCCCTCACACGGCTAACCACCGAATGTGATGGGGACTGTGTCCCCCCAGAATGTCCTTTAGAGCCCTGGATCAGAGGCCATTTCATAATCCTTAACTCAGGAACGAGGTGGCCTGGGAGACCCTGGCAGCCTGCAGGCTCCTATTCGAGCCCGGTGGTCAGTGGGAGTTCCTCCCCTTCCTCCCCCTCCTTCCCTCGTTTTGACTTTGACTCAGAGATTGTGACATGTCACCCCAGCTGGCTGCTGGCGTGATGACACTAAAATTAGGCTCTCCCCAAGGAGCAGAGAGCACTTACCGAAGGAGTTCATCCAGTTAGAGAGAGAGTCTCCCAGGCAAGCCCTGCTGCAGCAGGCAGCTGCGGAGACGCAGGCGGGAGGGAGTGTTTGGCCCGGACCTCTGCCTTCCTCGGGCCTCTGTTTCCATGATGTCAGAGAGGTGGAACTAATGCTGCCTCAAATCCAGGGAGGCAGCAATCCCTGCCCCAGTCCCTCTCTGGCTTCGGACCCGGCGCCCAAGCAAAGGTGAGAACGCATCTGTCTTCCTGGCCAGGTGGCTGCCGGGCCACACTGGGTTTCCTGGGGACCTTTTGGGCTCAGTCCTCACCGGGCTGGAGTTGAATTTGAATTTCCGACCCTGGTCCTGTCTGTCACGCTCCCTGGCCGAACACCACTTGCCAAGGGACCTCTTAGCATTGGCATAAGCAGTGTGGTACCTTCAGCTCAGAGCCCCCTCTGAGCCACGAGCATTTCTCCCTCTGCACTCGAGCACTTGGGGACAGAGTATGGCAGGAGACAGGATCTGAAAGAGAAGTCTCTATTTCTCCTTCTTGAGTCATTAGAAACTGTGGGAAATGACTCTTCTAGCGTCAGGAGGCCTGGCTGTTCGCAGATACCCCCATGGTGTTGGACAAGACTCTTCCTCTCTTTGGATGTCCGGTTCCTTATGACGGGGGAGCGGGCCCAATCGACAGTTTCTCAGGGCCTTCTCCCCGCAGTACGTCTGGTGCTTTGATCATCTCGCCTCTTCCGCCCTCTTTTTGTCAGTAACGTGTTCATATCTCTTGGTCTCTCCCAACCAGAAAAAGATTTACAAATACAAGAAAGTGCTGAGTAACCCGAGCCGCTGGGAAGTTGTCTTGAAAGAGATCCGGACCCTGGTGGACATGGCCCTGACATCCCCCCTGCAGGACGACTCCATCAACCAGGCCCCACTGGAAATCGTCTCGAAACTGCTCTCAGAGGTAACATGCTTGCCCAGCTTGATCCAGCTCCTCCCTTTTAAGCCACTGGCCTTGATTTCCACTGAGCACCAACCCCTCATTGAGCAGAACTGCATTCGGGTTAGTGATGTCTCTCTGTTGTTCAAGGTGGTGAGCAGCTTCCCACCCCGTGGCCGAGGCCTATGAGAGGGAGACTTGCCCCAGCTGAGCCATCTGGGGATTATCGCAGGCTTCAAGGAGGGGGTGCTGCCCCTGTGGCGAGCAGTGCTGGTCATCCCAGCCCCATCTCCGTCTTCCCCTGGCACTGGCTGGCATCAGCGCTGTGGGTTCTGGGTGATACAGCATCCTGCCCTAGTCACCCCACACGGCCCACTAATATGCTTTTTAAACTTGCACATGGTTTTAAGAATTAGGAGATTCACAGCAAAATGGGAATTTCCAGGTTCTCTTTAAAAACAATCAAAATCAAGGCCACATGTGGTAGCTCACATCTGTCATCCCAGCATTTTGAGAGTCTGAGGCAGGAGGATCGTTTGAACTCAGGAGTTTGAGAACAGCCTGGGCAATATAGCAAGAACCTGTCTCTACAAAAAAAATTTTTTTTAATTGCCAAGCGTCGTGGTGCATACCTGTCGTCCCAGCTAGTCGGGAAGCTGAGGTGGAAGGATCACCTGAGCCCAGAAGGTTGAGACTGTGGTGAGCCCTGATCCTGCCACTGCACTCCAACCTGGGCAACAGAGTGAGAACCAATTAAAAAGTAAAAATAAAATCAAGTGTCAGTTGGAGAATGGCGCTACCTGGTACTATCCGCTGGCCGGGCCTACACCGTCTGCTTTGCTGGCGGCTCTGCACACTGAGTGTGTGCCATGTGCCAGGCTCTTCTGGACATTGGTGCAAAGACAAGCCCCCGCCCTCCTGGAGCTTGTGTTCTCGAGGGGCGCCGGGGGTGAGCAGTGAGACTTGGTCAGGGGTCAGCCCGTGGCGGTCAAGTGAGATGAGCTTCGGAAACACACTCTGTTTTCTCTGTTCCAGGTGCGATTCTTGGTGCTTTACAAATATTAATAATACTTCTCTCGTTTATTTGCTCGCCTGGCCCTGCAGGGACACTGGAGTTGATAATTCCTGATTTTAGCTGTGGCCCCAGAGTAATGCTTCTGTCCCCTCCCCTGAGAGTGGTCCCTCGACCCTGGTCGTGCCACTCCAGTCCCCACACGAGTACCCTGCTTCCTGGAGCACTGCCTTCATGCTGCAGCCCACGCTGGTGGCTGCCCATCGTTCCAGGAACCTGGTACAGGCCCTCCAAGTCTGCTGTGTGGAGAGGGTCCCTCGCCCTAGGAGGAGGTGAGGCGAGAGGTGGAAAGTGACAGTCTCAGGCAGAGGGACAGAGATCGTATCCTCTGGGGGGATCAGCATCACTCCACAGAAGAGTAAAAACGCAGAGATGAGTCACGGTCAAAGTCTGGAATTCCAAGGCCAGGTGCCAGGGGCCCCACCTCGCGTGTGGACTCACACCTGGAGAAGGGAAGAAAGCTTCCCTGAGTAAGCCAGGCAGGTACCAGGTGCCACACATGTGCCTTCCTGATAGGTGGGCCTTTCTGTCTTTACCTTGCAGTCGAGGAAACAGGCCCTGCGATACCGAGTGACCTGCCCGACTCCCATGACGAGTCTGTGGTGAGGCTGGACCTTCTGCCTTAGGGCTGCTGAACTGTTTGATTTGCAGACGGAGCAGCCCACCCCTGTAGCCCACTGGGCTCCGCTGCCGTCATGCCCTCCTTAGATCAGGATGGTGCCAGGAGCAGCAGACGTGTCCCGTTGCCAGCCTCTCAGATAAGTTTCAGGGGGCCACATGCCTGCTGGCCTTTGCATCCCTTCCTAGGCTTTAGAGCAAGGAATCTCAAAGTCAGCAGACCCCCTAAGCACTAAGATGAAGGGATAAGGACATTTTAGAAGGCTGGGAGCAGTGGCTCACCCCTGTAGTCCCAGAACTTTGGGAGGTCAAGGCAGGAGAATCACTTAAGGATCAGCCCGGACAACATGGTGAGACCCCATCTCTACAAAATTTTTTAAATAGCCGAGTGTGGCAGTGGCACCTTGTGGTCCTACCTACTCCAGAGGCTGAGGCAGGAGCACCACTTGAGCCCAGAAATTCAAAACTGTGGTGAGCTATGATTATACCACTACACTCTAGCCTAGGCCACAAAGTGAGACCCTGTTTAGAAGGAAAAAAAAAACATTTAAAGAGAGAAAATGGGAAAAGTTCCCATTTGCTTTACACCTGCTGTGTGTCAGGCAAGGGGTCAGTGATACCCATTGTATTGCTAACAGCTGGCATTTGATGAGGGACAGGTACTCCAGCCCAGGCACCTGACCCAGCATCCATCTGCATAAGGCTTAATGCCTCTCCGAGTGGCACTAATGTTTTCTTGAGCACATATTCTACAGTGGTCACTTTGACAGATCCTTAGACCTGCCATATTTCTCCCAAGGACCCTGCACAGAAAGCATTAAAATGCACAGAGGAGGCCGGGTACAGTGACTCACACCTGTAATCCCAGCACTTTGGGAGGCCAAGGCAGGAGGATTGCTCAAGCACAGGAGTTAGAGACCAGCCAAGGCAACATAGCAAGACGTTGTCTCTACAAAATAAAAAAAATTAGCCAGGTGTGGTGGTGTGCTCCTGTAGTCCCAGCTACTCAGGAGGCTGAGGTGGAAGGATCACCTGAGCCCACGAGGTTGAGGCTGCAGTGAACGATGATTGTGTCACTGCACTCCAGCCTAAGTGACAAAGTGAGATCCCAATTCTCAATCTCTCTCTCTCTCTCTCACACACACACACACACACACACACACACACACGTACACACACAGGAGGAAGCCGAAGCACCAAGGGGTCCAGTATCTTGCACAGAGTCTCTCGGAAAAGTGGTGGGCCGGGACCCACGCCCAGTTCACCAGGTTGCAAAACTTAGGCTCCTGCATGTAGATATGCGGTAAACCTGGGCTGGCAGGAACCTCTCGGTGAGTGTGTAGCTGTATATAGGTGAAGCGTGTGTCCTGTGGAGTCAGAAAGACCTGATCCTGCCCTCTGTGGCTGAGTGGCCTTGGTCAAGTTGCTAGGTCTCTTTGTGCCCAGCCACTATGTGTAAATCAGGGCTGAGGTGAGTACCCACTCCCTAGAATGGGGGGTGGAATGCTGTCGTACACACAGAGTGCCTGGCACCATGCCTGGCATGCAGGGGGCTCCGGTAAATGGCCACGTGTTCATGGTCATAGGCCATGGTTATGATCTGGACCCCATAAGCACCCTCAGCCATTGTCTAGAGGGGATGACTGGGTCTTCCGACCATCTCACCCTCTTTTATTTCAAACCGATGGGGCTCGGTTCTTTCTCTGTTCTCTGCATGCGAGTGTTTCCAAGGCTTCCTTGGAGAGGTTCCAGACCTACCAGAAGATGGAAGGATCTGGAGGGAGGGGGAGAGGGGTCACCATGGAGGGGGCGGTTGAGGTGGCAGCATAGCTCTGAGAAAGAACTGCCCATGCACCAGCAGTGCCACACCAGGCTCTCCACCCTCCCAGCCTTTGTTGAGCTGAGGGTGTGGAGTGGTCACTTCACTTGAGAGTCAAATGTTCCCGCTAATGCCAGGGCTTAGAGAACACTCTCCACCTGGCATGGAAAATGGCCCTACAAGGGTCAAGTCTCCCTGCAGGACACATGGGCCGCCCGTGCCTGGGACAAAGAATGTGGCATTCCTGGTCACCATAGACTTTCTGGAAAGGTGCACGGATGGGGAGAAGGGTAAGTGGTCCCTGTGGAGCGGCCTAGGCAGCCTGAACTCCTGAACCCGCCCCCCTGGAGGGGGCGAGTGCTGGAGCCCAGGGTTGGAAATACAGGCTTTGGGGTCAGGACAGACATGGGCTCACACCCCACTCCCACTGTGCCCTGCACTGTACCTATCAGGCTCAGGTCACTCCCCGGCCAGTGGGACAGTAGGAGGACCCATCACAAGGAGAGAGGTGGCTGAGGTGAGCAAAGAGGGCTCTTCCACAGTGCCTGAGCCATGGTCATGAGGAAAGGCAGAGCCCGGTGCTGTGCATCAGGCTGGAAAATGGCTGATGCTTGATGATAATCTACCATAGAGAGGCTGTGCCAACCCCACTCAGGTCCACCGCAGTAATGAAAGGTCTCAGAATCCGCAAAGCATTCTTGCGTGTGTTCTGGATTCTAGGTACCACGGGTCAGGCCTCACCCAGGGCGGGGGTCTCCCAGGGCACTGTGGAGCCTCGTGTTGCTCAGCCACGGACCTCGTTCCTTGGCCTCCCTCAGCCGCAGGCCGCCAGCTTATGGAACAAGAGCAAGTTCACAGCTCAATAACTTTTTTTGCCTCAGCTGCCATAAACACATTAGACACCGCCATGTATCTTAAACCTGTGCATGTTGGGAGCCAAGGGGCTCTTTCTAGAGCACCAGAACAATTGATCTTGCCAGCCCTGTTCAGACGAGGAGTCCACGAGCCGCAAATGTGGCTCTGTTGGGAAATACAAATTGACACCAGTGAAAACCCATGCCCATCAAGACAGACACACAAAACAACACACCACAAAACGAGCAAGACAGAAAACAGTGGCTGTTTTCAGGTTTTCCCACGACTCCCTGTTTATTGCACGTTCGTGCCCTCCCTCGGCACATTCATCCGGCGGTGCTGCGCTGTGAGCATCCCCCATGCGGAAGTCGAGAATGCTCCAAAATCTGAAGCTCTTTGAGTGCTGATGTGGTGCTCAGAGGAGACGCTCATTGGAGCATTTTGAACTTCAGATTTTTAGATTAGGGATGTTCAACTGATAAGCATAATGCAGATATTCCAAAATTTGAAAAAATTAGGACTCTGAGCCATTTCTGGTCCCAAGCATTTCAAAGAAGGGATATTCTGCCTATATAGTAGGCACCAGTTGTTGAGGAAAATTCCACATTAGGGAGGGGGAGGATAATCCTAAAATTTCAGCCAGTGAAATCCATTCAACCTCAATTTTGTTTTTGCGAGGCAATTGCTAGAATTGGAATTTAGCTAAAACATCCTGAGCCTGCTCTGGGGAATACCAGTGTTCCTTGGGAACCTAGTTTGAGAACCACTTAAATAATACTGTCTCCGTGTTCCTCCTGCAAGACTGCCTGGCACCGGGTTGGAGACTCATAAAAAGTCTGTTTCTTTACGTGTTTATTACCCACCTGCCTGTTGACTTCTAAGCACAATCACCCTAACAAGGGCCAAAGTCTCTCACAGCAGCCTACTGAGGTATTGTTATCAGGATCCCCATTTGTGGAAGCAGAAACTGAGTCTCACTGAGACCCGAATCCCCCGAGGTCTCACAAGGAGTGAACGGGAGCAAGGAGCTGTCTTCCTGCTCCAGGGCCGTGCCTTTCCACTTCTCGACCTGGCCTTTGAGGGTGTGTGATCTGTTCGCTTAAGAAAAAGGGACGCTCCTTGGTCCAAGAGACTGAAGACATTTTGAAACTGTGTGGCTCTTGAAATCCAAACATTCTGTCTTTCTTAATTGTGTTTTCTTTTCTTTTCCTCCTGCTCTCCTTGGCCAATCCTTTAGAACACAAACTTGACTACCCAGGAGCATGAAAACATCATTGTGGTAAGTCCCCCCAGTCTCTCTGTCTCCGCCAGCCCTGCCTCCAGGAGCCCGTGACCCTTTCCCCTGTGTGAAATAAGTCTGGATGTGCTAGCACCTGTCTGTGTGCAGTTTCGTCTTGTCCATCAAGCCAGCCACTCACCCTCCTGCCCTTGCACATTTCAGGGCCCTAATTGATGGGTGAGGGTTATAACTATAAGCCTTAGAGGGTAAGCAAATGTGTCTTAACTGTCTCCTCCTTCCTGAGTCTGCCGTGGGGAGTGGATGGCAGGAGACGGCAGGGGCCATTTGATTTATTCCGAGGCATTGCCCCATTACCCCAGGACATGTCTCCTAATTAATCCACAAATAGAACCCAGATTGAATTCCCTCTGATACATCAAGTGAGATGATATTTTCTGGTACTTGACTACCATGTAAGTGTCTTTGAGGTAAAATATCTAACTGGGTGATTTTAAGCTATGAGACCTGACTCTCACTAGGAAGGGAAAGAAAGAAAATTGCCCCTTGCACCTACTAGGTGCTAAGCACTGTGCTGTGTATTTGAAGACACAGATGACTGAGTCCCTAAGGAGTTCTATTGTAGGAAGACAAATGTGATCACTGCAAGATGAGAGGCATTTAGTGTTGAGAGTAGAGTGATAAACTCCCCTGAGAAAGGAGCCAGAAAGCTTCCTGGAGGCAGTGATGTCTGAGCTGGGTTTTGAAGCATGAATAGGAGTTTGCCGGGTGGCAAAACAGGATTAAGGCATCCCGGAGAGAGGAAATAAAACATGCAAGGACCCAGAGATTTAAAGCAGCAGGGTGTGGTCTGGAAGCTTCAGCACTGCTGGAGCATAAAGCATAAGAAAGTGGGAAGCAAGGTATGGAACTTGAAATGGAAGTGAGAGTCAGAGCCTGTGTGCCCAGGAGAGGACCTGGGGACTCGTCTGCCCAGGAGGTCTCATGGCTGCAGCCTGTCGAACAAGAGCCCCCTCGAGTCACCCTGCCCTTCAGGCTTCTCTGGCTGAACCAGGGCTTTGGGGCCCACTCTCTCAACCCTGGAGAGCCCAGCTGGGTGCTGTGTCCACGAAAAGGGGTGAGCCTCAGGCCTTCTGCTGCGGACAGTAAAGGCAGCAGCTTCTGCCTCTGCGCCCAGCTTCGGTGTCTGGCACATCATAGGTGCTCAGTGGGCATTTGCTTAATACAGGAGTCAACGCCAAGCTCCAGCCTGACCACCCAATTGCCTTCTCTCGCCAGAGCAGGAGGACAGGTCATCCTGGGCACCGCAGTCATCTGCCACCACCCTTTGCTGGCTTAATCGTAATTAATCCATGCATCTAACAAACATTTGTAGAGCATGTGAGTACAAGTACATGCCGGACACCAGCTCTGTCCCACAGATAGAGAGTGCAACAGGACATGAGCACTGCCGTTGCGGGTTGACTGTGTTGGGAGACCCTTTGGTCAACAGATAATCGGAAGACAGCATGGCTGAGGGCTGAGGTTTGTTCTGGGTGTTAGGAGAGCCCAGAGGGTGGCACTGAACCTTCTCTGTCAGGGAGGCTGCTGGGAAAATGATGACGGAGGACTTTCAGGAGGAGGCAACCAAGCTGAGTCTTAAAAGTTAGCCAGGAGGATGTCAGGCAAATGGCACAAGTCGGGAAAGGCAGTCCAGGCAGGGGGACAAGCATGTGCCAAGGCAGAGTGGGAAGACTCTGGCCGGTGCAGTTCCAGGGGGAACGCGAGTGCCTGGGAAGGAGAGGGCACTGTCCTCGCCTGAGGGCAGCACCTGTGGGTCCCACCGAGCACCCGGAGGCCCCCGCAGGCGGGCGAGGACTTTGCATTCAGGGCAAGCCTGGGAAAGAGGTTTGATCCGAGAAGTCCTGATTGCATTTTTCCAGCTAAAGTGGCTGTGCTGACCCTTCGCTGGGTAGGGTTGGCTCCCCCTCAGCAGGGCCTGAGAACCGGGAGGAATTTGACCTCGGGGTCTGACCCCATCCTCCATTTCACGGCCTCTCTTTCAGCATTCTTTATTACGCTGTTGTTACTGTTATGACGTCTTCTGGAACCTTCTTTCATTCCAGCGGTTGTGTTCTCCCATTTGCCTGCTGGCAAATCATCTTTTCCTCGTGGTGCTGGTATCGTTTTTTTGTGCATAACTTGAGTTGATTTTAGTCACCCCGCTGGCCAGGCAATGGTGTGGTGGTGACAGCTGGGATGTCGCTGGACGAGCCTGGACCGAGAGCCTAAACCCCAGCTGTGGTCCTGCTCGCTGTGGGGTCACCAGTATGGTGATAAAGGATGTGGGCTCAAGTTCAGGGCTGAGTCCAGACCCAGACCCACACATACTGGCTGTGACCTTGGAGGTCAACAGAAGAACTTTTAATCGTCTTTAAAATATTATTAATTTCACAAGTATTTTGTGCATATAATTTGATTGTGGATAAAAGGTTTCGCCCCATGCCAGCACCCTAATCAGAGACATCCCCTGTTTTCGATGGTGAAAACCCACACACACAGCCATGTTTGGGGTTGTATTTTTTGTTTTGAACGTCATGATGGGATGCTGGATGTGTTGTTCTGCGTTTATTTTTTTCACATGATGGTGTGTCTCGGAAGTTCTTCTAAGTCTCTCACATGTGTCTGCCCCAGGGTTTCTGATATGTGTTCATTGTGTTTCAGGCAATTGCTCCTTTGCTGGAAAACAACCATCCACCACCAGATCTCTGTGAATTCTTTTGCAAGGTAGGCATTGCGGAAGTGGGCGGTGCTTGCAGGAGGCATCTGCCCATGTGCTGCTCTCTGGGGGTGGGGTTTGCACAAAAAGCTGAAAACTCAGGCCCCACCGACAGGGTCAGGGTCCCAGACACAGGGAGCGGGCACATGGGTGCCCATTCTGAGTGAGGGCTGCAGCCCCCTTCCTGCCTGCAGGGGATGGGTAAGATCCAGGGTCCTGAGCCAGGGGTCAAGGAGGAGCATCTGCCTGTCCCTTGGAATAGCTTCCAGGCTGTCTTGGGAGACAGTTGGTGGCAGAGTTTCTGAGCTCCTTACGTCAGAGCTGGGTTATTATTAGCCCGGGCTCCTCCAAGCACCGGCTGGCCCAGGTGGGGCACGGCTGCAGGGCTTTCCCTGAGCAGGAAGCAGCAGGATACCCCCGGTTAGATCAGAGGAGCCTCAGAGCAGGGCATGGCTCCCAGGGACCTGGCACCAGCCTCACGGTGGGATTCACGTGGACACGCCCAGAGCATGCTGGGGTTAGGCACTTGTCATTCCGAGAGTACATCTCAGCGACTCAGGAGGAGCCCAACCAGGGCACACACCTTCACTGTGTGGTTTTTATGTAATAATTTAATGCCCCCAGAAAGACACACAGCCTAGGTCTGTGCCCCTCACGCTCCCCTGTCTTAATCCTGCGACGCACTCCACTTACCTCCGTTCCCTCCCAGCACCTGGTACCTGCCTCCCTCCATGGTCACTTGCTGCCCTTTGGGTAGGGGCGGGCTGTGTCCACCAGTGAGGCCAGCTTGTGGGATGGAAAAGCTGGGAGGAGAGGGGACTGTGGTACACTTGACCACCCCCCAAGTGCCCCCCTACCCAGGGAGTCCTCTGTGTGTGTGTCAGGGGACAGGAGCTTTGAAAGGGAGACCGGATAGTGTTGTTCTCTTGGGCCTTGCCTCTCCACCAGGATTCCTTTTCCAGTGGCCAACACACCTGCTGGCCTAAAGTACCCAGGGTGCATTTCAGGGTCCTCCGTTTCACGCCCCACCCTGATCCTTAACACAGGCATGTGCAGTGTATGCCCTCTGGTTCAGGGAGTGAGCACCCATAGGTATGTGCATGCATGGCATGTGTGCACCCAGCCCTCCGGCTTCTCGAGGCATACAAGCAGCCCTCTGTGTCCCCAGGACTCACCGTGTCATACACCCAGCAGAGACTCACCGTGTCATACTCCCTTTCTCGGAGTTTGGGCTCCTGGGAGAATGGCCAGCTGTCCCCCTGCCTGTCATAGCGGGTCACCTCCTTTCTCCATAGTCTCCAGTTTAGGCCGGGCACAGGGGCTCACACCTGTCATCCCAGCACTTTGGGAGGCTAAGGTGAGAGGATCACTCAAACCAGGAGTTCAAGACCCAGCCTGGGCAACATAGTAAGACCTTGGCTCTACAAAAAATAAAAAAACTAGCTGGGTGTGGTGGTACCTGCCTGTCATCCCAGCCAAGGATCAATGACTCAGAAGGCTAGGGCAGGATCACCAGGAGGCCGAGGCTGCAATGAGCCGCTGGTGCGCTTGACGCCTTCACCCCACCCGAACACTGCACTCCAGCCTGGGCGACAGAGTGAGATCCTGACTCTCTCTCTCTATATATATATATATATTTTTTTTTTTTCTGTCCAATTTAATCTAAATCTGCCTCATGTCCTCCTCTCAAGCTTACAATTTCTCCCAAATCTTATGTTTTCCAACTTTCGTTATAGAACAATGGACCTTGAGATTCAAAGCGTATCTTACCTAAGGGTTCCTGGTAGAACGATTTGATAAAGGGTGAAGTAGAAGGAGCTGCCCTTTCTGACCCCCCTGCTTGACCCCATGTGGGGGCTGCCTGCCTTTTGGAGGGAGGAGGGATCGCAGCTGTCGTGTCCCCAGCCCTGCTGGCAGCCAGAAGCCGTGGCCAGGACATCCATGGGCCCGTGGTGACCATGCCCCCCTCTCTCCACAGCACTGCAGAGAGCGGCCCCGGTCCATGGTGGTCATCGAGGTCTTCACCCCTGTGGTCCAGAGAATCCTCAAGCATAACATGGTGAGTCTCCCCGACACCCAGACCACATACCCCAGGAGGTGGACCGAGGATCCCTGCCCCGCCTCGCCTCTTGGGTTCACACAGACTGGGCAGCAGAGTTGGCCCAGCCAGACAGCCAGGAGGGGAGCAGGGGTGGGGATTCTGGTCAGGGGCTTTAGGGGCTTTGAGCAGCCTGTCCTCCTTTTCCATGAAAGCAACAGGAAGCCTCTTCACAATGCATAAGAACAAAAATCCTGTGGCTGGGGAGGAGAGATCAGTTTCCCAGGCAGAAGAGTCCCAACTCTCGCCTGCAGATACCCCTCCCTTGAGGACGGGGGACACGGCTCCTCATGTCCAGATAGTGGCCGTGCTCAGTGACGTCCTTCCAGAGGGCACAGGGTTGGGGGAGCCCTGCAGCGGAGACACCCGAAAGACGCGACTCACCAGGTAATCAGACTGGTGTGATGGTAGACACACTTGGAAGGATGTGATAAAAATGGGGTCTTCCTCCCAGGAGACCATAACCCCAGTCTAATCATGAGGAAAACATCCGACAAATCCCGAGGGAAGGATAGTTTACAAGCTATCTGACTGGTCCTCCTTCACACGGTCAAGGTAATCAAAAACAAGGCCTGTCTGAGAACCATCACAGCCCAGAGGAGCCTAGGGAGACAAGAAGAGTCAATGTCACGTGGGATCCTGAAGGGGATCCCACACAGGAAAGGAATATTAGGGGATAACTGAGTACTTCTGAATAAGGGATGGCTTTTAGTTAATTTTTTTTTAATTGGAGTCTCACTCCGCCGCCTAGGCTGGAGTGCAGCGGCATGCTCACGGCCACCCCAGCATTGACCTGCTGGGCTCAGGTGATCCTTCCTCTCAGCCTTCCAAGTAGCCGAAACTATAGGTATATACCACCACGTCCAGCTAATTTTTTTTTAATTGTAGAGATGAGGCCTCGTCAAGTTGCCCAGACTGTTCTCGAATTCCTGGGCCAGGCAATCCCCTCACCTCTACCTTCCAAAGTGCTGTGATCACACGCTTAAGCCACCATGCCCAACCTAGTTAATTTTTAAAAATGCAAAGGCGGAAGTTAATTGCTCACTCACAGCAGACTGGGCACTTGTAATCTGCACGGCCCCTATGTATTTGCTCGTCATGTAAATGCCGGCAGCAAAATCATCATTTTTCTCGATAAGACACATGGGGAACCTGGGGCTTAGCAAGGTCCACTAGGTGGCCACAGGGGCACACTAGAAATAAAAATAACTGGCATCTATCACAAATATTTCCTGGATGTCTTCTTCTTGGAGCCAGAGAGTCTGGCGCTCTTTAAGTGCAGTATGTCACTAACATGAGTCCTCACGCCAGCCCTGCTGTCATGTCCCATACAGAGGAGTGTGGGACCCAGAAGGCCTGGACAGTCTACACAGGGTCTCATGAGCCGCTCTGTGTGCTCCTGAGAGCGTCTAGGGAGCAGGCAGCCTGAGGCCAGGGCCTGTTCTCACCTACCGGTTGTCCTGAGCCAGCTACTGACTTGGACATGTAGAAACAACTCTGAAAGAGGCTAACCTGTAAGCCATTTCATTTAGGACATAGTGTTCCTGTCTCCACACCATGTCCCTAAAGAATACTGTATCACCTCCACCCCCCTCCCCAATCAGGAAAGGAAGTGTGAGACACTGCACTCCTCTCCCCTCCCGTGCTCATGGCAGACCTCATTAATCAATCACAGCACTCTTCCTGAAGAACCAGAGGTAGCATTCCAAGCCACCATGCCGACTGGGTCCTGTGGGTACCATGGTGAATTCTGTATACCATTCTCTACCCTACGCAGTCACCAGCCATATTTGGAATTATTACTGATTTCTGAGATCGTCCTTGATTTGGGGTAAATTCATTTCTTGATTTCAGAGCATGTGGGCTGGGGACACCCGTACAGTTCTTTCTCCAGGACAAAGAAGCTCCTCTCGGGGTGGGGGGGGAATTTTTGCCCTAATTTGAGCTCTTTGTTTCAAGGAGGGATGTTTTCTGGCCTTGGCCAGCTGGAAGGAAAGGGTCTCTGCTTGTTAACTTTAAAATCACTGTGTGTGTAGTGAGTGGGCAGGGCCATGCCCTTCTGGAGTTCAGAGCAAAGGTTCTGGAGTCTTTCTTGCCAAGGATCTTAACATGTCCATGACAGAGCTACACGCCCAGGACATACTTGGGGCGGGGGCAGGGAGTGCCTCTTCAGGCACATAAACATGTTTGCATATTCCATGGGAGTCAATCAACTGTTTCATGAGGGTTCTTTGGGGCCTTCTGACTTCAAAAGGGAAAAGTGCCAAAATTCAGAGTCTCTAAGGCTTCTCACACAGCGTCTCCCTGTATTTGGTTGGCTTTATGGGCTGACCATGTAATAACTTTCTGCATGAAAATCAGAACAGCGCCAGAGCACACTCAGAGTTTATAGTGTCTGTGGTGGTCTGGCAGAGCCCAGGGCCTCCTAGCCGTGAATCCTCACTTCACTGTGGACGAACACCCTCTAAATGATCCTAGGTGTCCAGGATGCCATAAAGCATCAGGATCCCACGTTGCTCTTGGCGTCTACTAATTGCGTGCCATGAGCAGTGTTGGAAAGAGCTGCAGGCAGGACCGAGGAGGATTAGTGCCTCTCGAGGAAGAGCAGGCTGTATTAAGCAGTGACTGTGGCTGTGCCAGGCGCGCGGAGACGTGAGTCCTAATGGCGCAGGCAGCAGGCATGAAGGGCTTTGACATTCATTCATTTAACACTCTCTGATGCCTTGTGATTGGCTGGGGCTCGGGTACACCCGTTAGGAGCTGGGGCTGTTGGCAGGTGTGTGTGTGTGAGAGACTCACGTCACTGGCTAGTGAGCATACCTATCCTAGCCTGCTGCCTGCTGGGTGCCTGTGGGGATGGCATGAACAGTAACTTCTCACCCCAAGTGCAGTGTTTCTCATAAAGAGGCTCTTGGGCATTTGGGAACGGGGGCAGTCATCTGCCACGGTGGTGTCCTGGAATTTGGAGGCTTCCCCTATTCCAAGTGCATCTCTTGCAAATCTATCGTGTGTCCCATTTCATGAATGAGCAAGCTGAAGCTTAGAGAGCCTCAGAGAGTGTTCCTCGCTAGACAGAAATAAAAACTAGACACAAAAGGAAGCATTTCTTTAGTGTGTTCCCTGAGATTCAAGAATGACCGTTTATCTCAGTACCCACATGCCACTCATTGGAGCATTCTTATTGTGACAAAGAAGGCAAGAAGATGTGGCCATGGTCCCTAATGGACCACTGCATAATCTGACCTTCAACTTTACAAGGGAGCATATTTGACTCTTCCAAAGAGGCAAAATCTCCTTCATCCACAAGTTAAAAGGCCGCCAGACCCTTCTGTAAATGTTTATTTCCAAAGAAATGACCTTGACTACTCAGAAATCTAATAGCAAAGACAACAATGGTTTTTTTTTGTTTTGTTTTGTTTTAATTTGGAGTCTCTGTTGCCCAGGCCGCTCCCGGCCACCGCAGCCTCAAACTGCTGGGCTCCGGCGATCTTTCCGCCTCAACCTTCCAAGTAGCTGGAATTACAGGTGCGCGCTACCACGCCCCGCTAATTTTTTGATTTATTGTAGAGATGAGGTCTCACCAAGTTGCCCAGGCGGGTCTCGAACCCGCGGGCTCAGGCAGTCCACTCACCTCAGCCTCCCAAAGTGCGGGATTACAGGCTGAGTCACTGAGCCCGGCTAGCAATGGTTATTTTTAACAGGGCTCCATTGAAGCTGTTTTCATAGAATCATGAACCCGAGAGGTGGAAGGGGCTGGAGGTGGTTCTTCCAACCCTCTTTCCACAGTGGGATAGTAAGGCCCAGAGGGGGCTGTGGCAGCCCAAGGCCACACAGCTGTCCTGACCCCCTTGCCAGGAGACTGGGGACTCCGGGCATCTTCAATCTGAGAGCAAGATAAGGCTACCTCTCAGTCTTATCACACAGGGGCCTCATGTTCAAGCTCAGTGCTGTGTGTGCATGTACACATATACTTTCCTCTGAATGCTCCCTGTGGGCTCTGCTGCCCTCTGTGACGGGACAATCTCAGTAGGCAGAATGTAAGCGAATACCCCCTACCGACTCCAAGGACCCTGAATCAGCCCCTGGACCCCAGGTGCCCCAGGTGAAGAAGCCAGGGGGCTCTGGAAGCTCCCTCTTATGAGCTGGTGGGAGGGGCATGGTAGGAACAGAGCCCGCTCAGAGCTTCCACGCAGCCATGGTATCAGTTAGACTGAGGGGGCATCTCCTCTGGTCCCATGGCAGAGGTGAGAGTCCTGATCAGCCTGCATGTTCTAATGGGTACCCTGGAGGTGGGTGCAGAAGGATGGCTTTGGAGACCTCGGGCTCCCCTGTTGTCTTGCTGGTCAACCACATCACTGTTCCAGAGAGAGCTGGGGCTGGCCCCTGCTGCACTCCACCCTCCAGCTGATCAGACACAGCATGTGGGTCTGAAGTCCCTCAAACGAAGCCCCACGCCCGACCCTCGCCACGCCCGCCCAACCCTCGCCGTGACTGCAGGGATGAGTGCAAGTGGGGGGATATACAGGCCCCTTCCTGAGCCCCCAGCCATGGTGAGGAGGGCTCTGGGTGCTCCCCCTACCTCAGTTGGGTTCACTGTGCCCACCCTGCTGATGCGATGCCTGTGGGTGCTGCTAGGACGGTGTCTCCAGCTACGTCGTGCTGGAGCAGGCGGGTCCCTTGGTCCTTAGTCCACCCCTTCACTAAGCTGCAGTGCAGTGGGCCCTGTGGCCATTAGGAGGGCGGAGAGGGGCCGGGAACCCACCTTGTCCTGGCATTGCGTGGACTGTTTGGCAGCGGCTTCCCCAAGCACTGTCAGATGATGCAGGTCACATGCCAGCCCCCTGCCCTGCAAGTCACCAGGGCTCAGCGCATGCCCGGCCTTCATTACACACACACACACACCCCCTCCCACACACCATGTCTCACACATACAGACACGCCCCCTCCCACATGCCACATCTTACACACACACACACACACACGCACACACAACCCCTCCTCCCCACACCACGTCTCTCGCGCGTCCCTCTCTTGTGCAGCCAGCCTTTCTTGTCTCATTCACCCTCTGTTTCGTGTCCCATGTGCCTTTGAGGGTGGCTTTTCCTCCAGCCTGGAGCACGTGGTCCACAACCGCTAGGAAGTTCCGTTCTGGAGCCTGGGGCACAGCCATGCAGGAGGAAACCCCTGGGGGTCTGCCCTGAGCACCATCCTGCCCCGGGACTGCGTGTGGCTCACAGACTGGCCTCCCACCGGCCATGTCTTCACTCAGGAGACAGAGCAGGTGTCTCTTCACGAAGACCACAGCTTGGGGATACTGGAAGCCACATTTGTCCAGCAACTTCCTTTGCCCCATCTACACACCCAGGAGGTCCCAAAGCCCCCCTCCAAATCGATGACCCCAAATCGAGGACCCCATATCGAGTCACCTGTACTGGGCTGAGCAGCCTAAGTTAATATAGCTCACAGAAAGCAGGGTCCCAGAAACTGTCAGGTGGCTGCCTAAGAAGAGTTTCCAGCTTCCCCCAAGCTCATCAGGGGCCAGCTGGATGTCTGCGGCCCCTCATGGTCACGTGGAAGAGACTCAGGCCTGGCTGTTTTCCAGGCGTGTCTGTGGCACACTGGCCCTCGCCCTCCCAAAGGAGCACGTGGGGGCTGTCTTGGGGGCTGGCCATGGGCCTCCTGTGCTGAGACATTTCCTGATCACCAAGGGCAGCCGTTAGGGGTGTGAGCATGGGTGTGACGGTGCCATTTCCTTGCAGTGAAAGGTGCACATGCCTTCGAGATGGTTGGTGTCTCCCACTGTCTTCTGTGCTGACTGCCCAGGCAGAGCCTGGTCGCACCATCCTTCCGGGGTCCCAGTTGCCGGACATCCCCCAACTTCTGCCCTCTGTCTCCCTGCAGGACTTCGGGAAGTGCCCACGACTGAGGCTGTTTACTCAGGAGTACATCCTTGCCTTGAACGAGCTCAACGCGGGGATGGAAGTAGTGAAGAAGTTCATTCAGAGGTGAGTCCCAGCACGGACCCCTCCCCTCCTGGCCCCCGAGCCCTCTTTCCTATCCATCCCAGCACCCTCGCCCCTTGATGCCCAGGGAAGGGGCATCGGTAGTGTTCCAAGGCCTGCATGTCTCCTCTCCACAAGGCTCCATATCCTTCCAGCCATGTGTGATCCGAGCCACTCACTTGCCGTGTGATATTGAGCCAGTGACTGCATCTCTCTGATCCTGTTTCCTCAGGGGTCTGTTATGCAACAAAATGAGGGCTGAATAGACCAGGAAGCCCCACACACTGCATCGCCACTCAGGCAGTAGCCATGGGCCTAAAAGTGTTAGTGTTCCCACAGGTCCCACAACCCTCGGGCTGTGGTGCTGGGTGTTTAGGAAAGGACTTCCCCCAGCGGTCCCAGAATGCTGTCATCAGGGACTTGAACTTCATAAACTTGACCCAGAGGAGGCCAGATAGTCTTGCTCTTCCTTCTGGTGTTTGGGGTTGGTTGGGTTTTGTTTTTTTATTTTTAATTTTTCTCTGTGCTTCTGTGTCCTTGTCTGTACCACAGGACCCTAGAGTCCTCTTCAGTCAGCATGATGATCCAGTGAGCCGATAGCCGTGAATGCTGAGACCATGCAGAAGTCTAATGTCAAGTTGCACGGTCACTGCTATGGCTCGTTCCTTTTTTCTTTTTTTTAAGAAAATCCACATAACTAGTCCAAGCTGGTTCCGAAACTACTTATCTCCTAAACATGCCCACCTGGAACTCTCAAAGCCTTTCCAAACCAAATGCTCTTCTGCCAGAGCCCTGGTGACTCCAGGTTCCCTTTAAGGCAAGGGTCCCCAATCCCTGGACCACAGACTAGTACCAGTGCATGGCCTATTAGGAACTGGGCCACACAGCAGGAGGTGAATGGCGGGCAAGTACACGAAGTTTCATCTGTATTTATAGCTGCTCCTCATCGCCCGCATTACTGCCTGAGCTCTGCCTCCTGTCAGATCAGCACGGCATTAGATTCTCACAGGAGCGCAAACCCTATTATTTGTGAGGGATCTAGGATGCATGCTCCTTGTGAGAATCGAATGTCGGATGATCTGAGATAGAGCTGAGGTGGTGAAGCTAGCCCTGGGGAGCAGCTGCAAATATAGACTAACGTTAGCAGTGAGATTTGACTGCACAGAGACCATCATAAAGCAATTGCTTGCAGACTCATATCAAAGCCCAATCAGTGAGTGACAAGTGAACCGAGGTATACTTCAGTTGTATAGCTGCATCTGGTGGCAGGCTTTATGTCAGAATATAGTCCACATGTGGCACACTCATTATTTTATTTACCACTTCTGCCCACGCCTCTCTTTTTTATGATGAGTTAATTATTTCATTATATATTACAGTGTAATAATAACAGTAACAAAGTGCACAGTAAATGTTATGTGCTTGAATCATTCCAAAACCATCCCCCCCACCCTAATTCATGGAAAAATTGTCTTCCACCCCTCTGGTCCCTAATACAAAAAGGTTGGGACCACTGCTTTAGGTTTTAAGGTTGGGTGCCCAGCTATGGTCTGTGGAATCTTTTCAGTTAGATCTTTCTCAGTGACAGCCACCACAATGACAATTTCCAGAAACATTACAGGTATTATCCTCAGGCCCACACTTAGCCCATTTTACAGACAAGAAAACTGTGGCATAGATATAGCTATGACAAATAATGATTACTGGCGTTTATTGAGGACTTAGTGACTGTCCCAGACCTCGTGCTAAGCTAAGATGACCATAGTCGTTTCTTCTACAACAGGACACTTTAGAGTAAAACAGGGTGTCGTAAATACTTCTTCCAAACTACCTTGTATAAACATGACTGGCCACCATTCTAGTTCTCTCTGTGAATTAGAAAATTTGGTCCTCACTGTAGTCCCCTGAAGGGGAGCTGGTACCCTGATTTTCTGGTCAAGGAGACTGAGGAAAGAGAGTTTAGGAGCTTGCTAAGGCCACTGAGCAGGATTTGAACCCAGGCACCCTGGGTCTGGTATCCAGGCCTGGAGCTTTGCTCTCGGCTGCCTGCACACGGCACAGCCAGGACCCAAATTCTGGTGTCACACACAATGGCTCTTAAAGTCGCCTGAGCCCCTCAAAGTCCTCCAAGCCCCAGGCCTGAGCATCACCCCACCTCCACCTCCTCCATCCAAGGGTCCTGCCCCTGCAGACCTCTCACTGGCCTCTGCTCTGTTCCAGCATGCATGGTCCCACAGGGCACTGCCCCCACCCCCGGGTCCTGCCCAACCTGGTGGCTGTGTGCCTGGCTGCCATCTACTCCTGCTACGAAGAGTTCATCAACAGGTCAGTTTCTGCCACCCAGAGGACTTGGGTGGGGCATGCTGTCATCCCCACTGTGGGCACAGGCACCTGGCACCAACTGGGACTGGGTGGAGGGGCTTCTACCAGGCAGACCTCCCAGGGAGTGACCAAATCCCCTCGGCCTGGGACCCACAGAATGCTGCTGAGAAGGTAGACACTGAATGAACATGGCAACTGCAGGCCGTTCTGTCACTTGGCTTTGGGGACTTAGTGAAGATTTCTCACCACCAGGCTTGTGGGACACTTTGCGGGGCGGGAAGTCCTGTGTGTGGGTATGCAAATGTGTGTGCAAAAAGTACATGCCTGTGAGTGTGTGCGTGCTGGTGGCTGTGTGGGTGAATGGATGTGAATATGCTTGCATATGTGTCTGACTGTATCCTTGTGTATCGGCCAAAGGGCTGGCAGTAAGGTTTACCCCATCTAGGCTTGCCTTTGAAAACATGGGATTTTGCACACAATCTGCATGTTTTTCTTGAACACCTCCTGTGTGCTGGGCACAGTTTTAGATACTGGTGAGTGAGATCACACCCTCCCTGCCCTCTGGGCTTGTGTTCTTCCAGGGGAGATGACAGGTACGTGTGCAGGCTCATGTCAGATGGTGAGAAATACTGTGCATACAATAAAATGGAGCGACCAGGCACAGTCACGAACACCTGTCATCTCAGCACATTGGGAGGTCGAAGCAGGAAGAATCACTGGAGGCCAGGAGTTTGAGACCAGCCTGGGCAACATAGCGAGACCTCCTCTCTACAAAAAATACTTTAAAAATTAGCTGGGTATGGTGACACACACCTGTAGTCCCAGCTACTTGGGAGGCTGAGGCAGGAAGATCGCTTAAGGCCGGGAGGTTGATGCTGTGGTGGGCTATGGTCATGCCACTGCACTCCAGCGTGGGCAACAAAGTGAGACCACAACTCAAAAGTAAATAAATAAATAAAATGAAAAGGTGGGGCCGCAAGTGTCAGGAGCCAACACTGAGGCCAGGATGTGGGCGGAAGCCGCTTGCCGGGGAGACGGACCCAGAAAGCACTAAGGGGACAGGGTAGGGAGGACAAGTGCCAGAGGACAAGCTCCTAAGCAAACAAGCACTGCAGGCACCGGGTACCCGCTCCTTGTGGGTCCCCTTTGCCACAGGAGATTGTGTGGAACCTCCTCAGAGCGGCCCCCTGAAGGTGGTGACGCTAGACAGTTCTCGCCAGCGTCCATCCCTCACTGGTTGAGGACTGCTTCTGGGACACAGAGTGACGCGAGTGCCATTCGTTTGTAGGGAGTTTCCACAGTGACCCCTGGGGTCGTCGGAGGGGATGTGATGTGCAGGGCACAGCGATGTCTGCTGTAGCCGCCCAGTTGTTCAGGCGGTACATGGCACAACTCCAAGGGGACCACAGTGTGTGCAGGTGCCACCAGAGCTGGGAAAAGGGCAGGGGTGTGTTTTAGCCTTTTCTCAGGCAAAGGCAGTAGGCGGCGCGTTCCAAGTCCCTGAAAACCTGTGCAGATGGGACGCCGTGCTGTGAGCTCTTGGGGAAGGGGCAGGAAAAGGATTTGACCCTCTCCTCGTGGCAGGGCATGCAAGGGGCGGGTACCCTCAGCCCCAGCCCTGAGGGTCACAGGGGATCATGTCCGATCTTGAATCACTTCCTGTTCAGAAAGGCCTCCCGCACACACTCATCTGGTCCCTGTCCCTGCAGCCTTCCCAGAGTGTCATGTAACTAGAGCCACGGGGTAACCTGGAGGTGGCCTTCTGCCATTCAGTGCCGTACCTTTGTGATCCATCTGTGCCGTGGCTTTTCCTGGCTGTGGAGTATTTCATTACACTGATGTATCATAGTATGCATCCTTCCCCTTGGAGGACATTTGGATTATTCCTAGATTTTGGCCATTACAAATAAAGTTGCTACAAAAAAAAGAAAGAAAGAGATGTTGGGACTCCAGGGGCCAGAACATGAAGGTGGTCGCTTGCTCCCAGGGCCTACAGTGGTAGAGCAGGAGGAGGAGAAAAAGAAAATCAGAGGGCTGTGCGTGGCCTGCCCAGTCGTCCAAGGCTTCCGTGTCACAGGTGGCCACCCACCCTCTGCCTGGCCCGCTATCTCTAGAGCTGATCTGCATGTGCGTCACACTCTGGCTGCCCAAGAAGATGGCAGGGCATCAGGAGTGTCACACAGACACACACAGGCACACATGCAGAGACACATAGATACATAGAGACACAGACACACACAAAGACACACAGACACACAAAGACACACACAGATACCTAGAGACAAGACACACATAAATACACACATAGAAACACACAAAACACACAGACACACACAGATACATGGAGACACAGACACACATACACACAGATATACACATGCAGAGACACACAGACATGCTTGCAGACACACAGATACATAGAGACACACACACACACACAAAGACACATGGACACACAAAGACACACAGACATGCACATGCAGAAACACACTCAGGCACACACAGATACCTAGAGACAAGACACAAATACGCACATAGAAACACACAAAGACACACAGACACACATACACATGCAGAGACATACAGACATGCAGACACACACAGATACATAGAGACACAGACATACACACAAAGACACATAGACATACAAATGCAGAAACACATGCAGACACACACAGATACCTAGGGACAAGACACACAAATACACACAGACGTAGAGAGACACACAGACATACAAATACAGACATACACATGCAGAGACACACAGACAGATAAGTAGACACACAGATACATAGAGACAAGACACACAAAGACATACAGGCACACAAATACACATAGACACACAAATACATACACATACAGAGACACAGACAGAACTACAGATAAGACGCATGCACATACACAGACATAGAAACACACAAAGACACACATGCAGATCACATACAGATACATGGAGACACATACCCAAAGACATTCAGACACACACAAATACAGACACACAAGACACACAGACATACACATGGGAGCGGAATTGCTGGGTCACCAGATCTACACACATGCAGCGCTTCATGCTGACTTCCCTGGAGACACACAGACAGACATGCAGACACACACAAGTACATGGACACACACAAAGACACACAGACATAGAAATACAAACAGACACATACAGATACTTGGAGATACAGACACACAGACACACAAATACACACAGACACACACACAGATACATGGAGACACAGGCATACACAAAGACTCAGACACACACAGAGTCACAGACACACAATTACACACAGACACAGACATACACAAATGCATACAGACACAGATACATGGAGACACAGGCATACACAGACTCAGAGACACACAGACACACACAGAGACACATACACACACACACAAATACACACAGACACACACCCATACCCCCAGGCTCCTTTTCCTCCTGGAGCCTCTTACTCACCTGAGCCTGCCTGGGCTGCTCTGGGAAGTCTGAGCCGGTGCGGGGCGGGGCACAGGAGCTGGAGAAGGCACCTCCCGGAGCTCTCCCTCTGCATCTCCAGGGAATCGGAATCCTCGACTCGGGCGGGAGACGGGATGGCGGGGGCCTGGACGTCTCTCTCGCAGCTCCCACCCCGGAACCAGTCAGAGACGGGAGGGACCAAGGTGAGGCGGCACACACACGGGTGCCCGCCGAGGCCCAGCAGTGCCAGCCTCGGGCTTGCTCCCACCCACTCAGCACTCATGTGCGGAGGGCCCCGTGATGTGCGGGCGGGAAGGTACAGGAGTGAAGTGGCCGGGCGGCCCTGACCTCAGAGCACGTGGCCCAGCAGTGGCAGGTGAGGGATGAATCAGGCTACAGTGGAGGAACCAGAGGCCTCATTCACACGGTTGACAGCTCAGGGTCTCAACCCTGGTGCATGTGAGAGTCACCAGGGAAGTCGGCATGAAGCGCTGCATGTGCATCCATCTGGTGACCCAGCCATTCCGCTCCCATGTGCCTTTTGGCACATTCTTCAGAAAGCATGTGCAGGAATGCACGTAGCAGCATTGTCGGTAAGGCCCCCAAACTGAAAACGTCCTCAGCTCAAATGTCCTTCCACAGTAGAATGGGGGAGCAAACTATGCTCCATTCACACAAGAAATACTGAATAACAGAAACTCATGCCACAAGCAGACCGTGAGTGAATCTTGCAAGTGTAACACAGCGACAGAAGCCAGCACCAAAGACACCTACTGTGGGATTCTTGTCACAGGAAGCTCAAGACCAGACACAACGCATCTGTGGTGAAAGGGGCTGGAAGAATGGCCACTTTGGGGTGGGGCCGTTTCCAGGAAGGGCATAGAAAAGCTTCTGGGTTCCCAGAAGCACTTGCCATCTTAATCTAGGTCAGTCGTTTTCAGCCAAGGCCAGTGTTTCCCTGGGGGATGTCTGGTGATGTCTAGGGACATCTCTGGTTGCCACAGTTTGGGTAGGGGAGGGGGCACTGCCAGTGCCTGGGGGTAGAAGTTAGGGGTGCTGTTGAGCACCCTACCATGCACGGGACAGATGCCACCACAACACGTGTCCTGGCCCCAGACGTCAGTAGAGCAGAGCTGCAGAGCCCTGACATGGGTGGTTATGACACAGGTGTGTGTGTAGAAGCTCTCCAGGTTCCACACCAGAGCTGTGGACTTGACTGTGTTTCACTCCTAGCCAGGCTGTGCAGGAGTCAGGTCCCCATGGCATCTGGGAGCACATCTTCCTGCTCCGTAGTCAGTGACACCACCAGGCAGCCTGAGGCCAGTGGTGATGGGAGCGTTTACACCAGGGAAATCGGCAGACGCTGCAGATTGGGGCTTCATTTTTCTGGAGAGTTGGTTGACAGATCTTTGGCAGCATAACGAGAGTTACATCTCGATAAAAAAGAAAAGATGGGAAATGGCGCCCGGGCCCTACCCATGCCATCTTGACTTAAAAAGACAGGCCCTGGTATCGTTTGATGGTTTGAACTCCCCAGGTCAGTCTAGTGCGTGGCCAGAATTGAGAATCCCTGCTCCAGGGGAGGCCAAGAAAGGATCCATCAGGCAGGAGGCAGGAAGAGGGAGGCCTGGCCGGGACAGATGGGGTTGCCCTTGTCACAGCATTTTTTCATCCATGGCCCTGGAACACCTTCAGAATCCCCTGGACTGATTAAAGATGCAGATTCTGGGATGCAACCTTTCTGGGTCGGGGCCTGGGAATCTGCATCCTTAACAGACTCCACAGGCGATTCTGCTAAGCCTGGAGGGCCGTGTAGGGGAGGGCCTGAAGGAAAGCCAATGTTTGGAGCAGAGGGGAGGAAGCTGGAGAGGGAGGTGGGGCCGTGGGGAGGCAGCCTCTCAGCCTCCAGGTGCTGGGATTCTCCAGGGATGGATTAGAATGCAGATTCAGAGTCTGCAGTTCAGGGTGAGGCCTGAGACTGCATGTCTGACAAGCTCCCGTTCAGTGCCACGGGCGGGGGGCCACGGGATGGCAGGGCTGTGTTGCAGTGGCAGGATTTGATCCTGAGAGCGTTGGAGAGAGGGCTTGGGCCGTAGGTAGATATGGCACGTGATGAAATTTCAGCTCCATTTCCCTCCCACTGCCGCTATGGGGAGGACATCCTAGAGGAGGACATCCTAGAGGAGGCAAGCGTGACCCCAGGGGGCTGTCAGGTGGCTATGGCGGCGAGGTGCCAGGGCTGAGTTGTGGCAGGAGCGAGCTGGGCCCTGCTGCCCCCGCCCTCCTCACTCGGCCCAGCCGATCACCTGGGCGCCCATGGTGGTCTGGGTTCCCGCCAGTGCTGTCAGCTCCCCCGGGACGGCACCCAAGACCCACGACGCTGCCAAGAAGGTTCCCAAGTTCAGCTCCCTCATGCCCCACAGGCCAGTGCCTTCAAGATAAGCCCTGTGATGTCCTCTGGCCATCCCTGTGCCCGCAACGGGCACACGATGTACTCACACTGGAACAGACAGCTTGACCCAGGTTAGCGTGGCTCTGGAAAATCACTGCTCTGAGCCAGCAGCCTTGAAACCCCTCCTCCATCCAGTGGAGGCAAACAAAGGGAGCAAAGCGTGGAGCACTGGGGGGCAGGTCAGATCTGTGGAGGGAGGTGGAGAACGGAGTTGCGGAGGCCCCCCCTCACGGACCACCCACGGCTCCCCATCCGCTCAAACTCTCCGCCTTCAGCCCATGGACTGTTTATTTCCCCCAGCAAAGCTCCAAGTGTATTTAGTAAACACCCTCTGGTGGGCTCAGCTCGGGCCTGGCCTGCGGCCTATGCTGGGTGAATCCAGAACCTCCCGTGAGCATCAGGCTCGAGTTCCGCACGGCGGGGCTCAGTCCCCTGGAGTCACAGGGCACCTGCGTGTGGCATGACTGGGGAGGGACTGAGTGAGCAACTGTGTGTGTGTGTGTGTTTTGCTTTTCTGTAGAGATGTGGTCTTGCTATGTTGCTTAGGCTCAAACAATCCTCTCACCTCAGCCTCCCAAAGTACTAGGATTATAGGTGTGTGTCACCATGCCTAGCCAGCAGCTGTTTTGAATCATGCCTTTGTGGCCAGAGTCATGCGGAGCAGTGGGTCTCAAACTTGACCACACACCAGGACCTTAAAAATTACTCACGCCCTGCCTCCACCCCACCACCCCCAGAGATTTTGCTCTAATTGGATTTTGGGGTATTTAGAAGTACCCCTGGGGATCCTAGTGTCCAGCCAGGGGTGGAAAGCTCTGGTTTAGAAGGCATTCAGAGGCAGGAAGGGTGCGAGTGGCAGAAGAAATCAAGGAAGAATTCCTGGAGGGAGAGACCGGCACAGGATCTTAAGGGACCTTGGGAGCCTGGGTCATGAGAAGGACCCTGGGCTTGGCAGTTGTAGAGAGCTGGTTTCCAATCCCATCTCCCTCACCTGGAGCCTTTTAACTAGGGATCAATCATTTGACCCCTGGGAGCGTCTTTGCTCGCCTGCAGCATGGAGATGGTAGGACTCCTGTTGCAGTGATGTCTCTGAGCATCTCTGTGTTAGCACTTAGCACTGTGGGCACCAGCAGGGGCACCCGTGGATGGTACTACTGTCCACGGGTGCCCTTCCCAAGAGGGTACATTGGAAGCATGCAGTAAGAGGAGGGGCTTTAACTAGGTCAAGGCTCTGACAAGCCCTGCTGTAAAGATGCCCCCTTTCACTATGTTTGGCCTAGCATTTCCCAAACAAACTTGACATTAATGACACCATATAGAACCCTTCTCTCAGTTGACACCTGTTAGCATTCTGAACAGGCATTGTGTCTCCAGGCAGCTGGAGAAGCTGTGATTGGGCGGCTGCCCAAGAGTGGTGGGGTATGCCCAGAGCTGCAGGCAGGGGGCCTCTGCAAACTCCAGGCCCACACCAGCCTTCTGGGGTTGGTATCTTGTCGAAGGACTTCCAGGAGGAGGGTGGATGCTGAGCTGTCTCACTTGGCAGGGAGATTGACACTGGGGCATCAGAGTCAAGGGCAGGAAGGCAGTTAGACTGTAGGAAGTGATGAGAAGCGAAGCAGTTGATCCCACGAGTCAGGAACGTGGCCAGGGAAGGCATCTCGGTGGGGGGGAACGCCAGGAGCCTGTGGCTATCGTGTAGAGATGAACACTTACCCAGTCATTCTGCAGACATTGTTGAGCACCTACTGTGTGCTGGGCCACAGCATGGACTATGGAGACAGACAACCTTTGCCTGCCTGCAGGTCTTGGGCATGCCCCTCACCCAGGCTGAGCCTCAGTTTCTTCGCTTGCAGCACAGGGATGGCGATAGTATCACATCACAGGCCCTTCTGGGGATTCAGGGAGGCCTCAGCAGGGTGGCATCGTGAGTGCTCACCCACGCGCAGCCCGCAGCAATGCCCTCACTCACACGCCCTCTCCTGCCTCTCCCCCCAGCCGCGACAACTCCCCCAGCCTGAAGGAGATCCGGAACGGCTGCCAGCAGCCATGTGACCGGAAGCCCACCTTACCTCTGCGCCTTCTGCACCCCAGCCCGGACCTGGTGTCTCAGGAAGCCACGCTGTCCGAGGCGCGGCTCAAGTCGGCCGTCGTGGCCTCCAGCGAGATCCACGTGGAGGTGGAACGCCCCAGCACTGCCAAGCCGGCGCTGACGGCCAGCGCGGGCAACGACAGCGAGCCCAACCTCATCGACTGCCTCATGGTCAGCCCTGCCTGCAGCACCATGAGCATCGAGCTGGGCCCCCAGGCTGACCGCACGCTCGGCTGCTATGTGGAGATCCTCAGGCTGCTGTGAGTGTCCCCATGACCCACGTCCCTGCAGTGGGGAGCAGGAGGCTGGGCTCTGCCGGTGCGGCTGTTCTTGCTGGTCTGGAGCATGGGCGGTGGGGGGCACGTTGAGTGTTCATGTGTGCATACTGTGGGTCAACCCAGGTTTGGCTCTGAGGACAGAGTTCAGGTCACACGCACAAGTGTGTCTCTACGAACATATGGTATGTGCACACATGTGGGGTGATTGCATGGCTATGTCTGTGCCTGTATGCTTGAGTGCCCTGGCACATGTATGGGATGTGTGCACAAGCATACATGTGTAGATGTGTGTGTTTGTGTGTGTGTGCACTGAGTGTGGGTGTGCATGTGGATTTCTCTGTAGCGGCCTGTGTGTTTTGAGTCTCTGTATGTGAGTGCACAACTGTGTGTGTCTAGGTGCTTGTGCTAGTTGTGTGCACCAGTGGCTCTAAGTACATACATGTGGGTGTGACAATTTATGCACAAGAATGGGAGTGCAGTGTGTGTTTCTCTGTGCACGTGTATGGGAGCCCGTGTGTGTTTCTGTGCTATGTGAGCCATGCGTGCTTGTGTTTATTTGGGGTGTGAGTGTGCATGGATATATGTGTGTGTGTGGGTGGTGGGTCATGTGTGCAGATGTGTGTGGCTGTGTGCCTGGGAGTCTGTGTGGTTGTATGCACACAATTGTGTCATGTTGTGTTGCCTGTGTGTGTGTGTAGGAGCCTGCTGTCCGGGGAGTAGTGTCTTTTGGGAAAATGACTGGGCCGTGCCAGGCTCCTGGCGCCCCGCCTCATCCTGGCGAGCTCTTGGTGGGTGGGGAGGGCTCGATGCAGGCCAGGCTAGTGAAGACACCCCGGAGGAGTCGGGTGACTCGGGTCTGCTCCAGATGGTGCTGCTTCTGAGCAGGATGCTTTGGGCCTGTCCACACCCCACCCTGAAGTCAGTTGTCTTGTGACCCTAGAACAGGTGGTAGACAGTTCTTAACTCTTGACCTCCGCAGTTCTTTCTACTTTGACATTCACACACTCCACCCCAGACACGTCTCCAACCCACATGCCCTTGATTCGGGGAGCCCGGCCGAGGGGCTTCGCTGGCCCTTCCCTCTGTCCCCGCTGAGCCTACAGACCCTCAGCAGGTGCATCCCTCTTGCTCCCAGAAACCTCTTCCCTCGCAACAGAGCCCTGTCCGCTCTCAGGAGACCCAGATCCGGAGTTTTGCATTTCCTGATGCAGTTGATTGTGGTTGCTGGACTTTTCGGAGCGTCAGGGGGCACGACTGCATTGTCACATGTGACCCATGCATGGTGCCTGTCTAAAGCTGGGGCACCAGGGGCCATCACCTGGGGGGAGGGGATGCCATGTGGGAGGCCTGGGTGTTGTCCGTGTCAGGGGTGGGTCTCGCTGAGTCCATGTCACCATCACTTGGCTGTGGTTGTCTGTCTGTCCTCAGTCATGAGCGTTGCTTTGGCTGTGCTCAGGGCTCAGGGGTGGAGGTGAGCTTCCGGGGCCTGGTGAACTGGAGAAGCGGGCCAAAGGTGCCTTGGAGGCCAGGCCTTTGGCTTCTGTGAGGGTCAATGCACTCATGCACACGCGTGTGCACACAGTTGCACAGTGGCCTTCGCTGACGGAAGGACATGATGGAAGCAGCATCCCCAAACAGTTCCTGTGCCCACGTGTCAGCCTCAGAGAGGAAAAGGCAAGACCTCACCATGGTCAGTACCTGCCTGCCCTGTGGTCTCAGCAAGAGGCCAGGTAAGGGCATAACCACATTCAGCAGCCTCAACTTCAGCAAAGGAAATTCCAGATGCCACTCAACATCTCCAAGAGCATAGGGCAGCCCTCCGAGTTGCTTCCAGGCAGGGAAGAGCTCCTCTCCTCTCCCAGAAATGGCAGACAGCATCCCGGGGGACAGGTCAGCCTCCCAGGGGACAGATCTGTCCCCCAGGGGAGAGGTCAGCCTCCCAAGGGACAGGCCAGCCTCCCATGGGATAGGTCAATCCCTCGAGATGGGTCAGTCCCTCAGGGGACAAGTCAGCCTCCCAGGGGACAGGCTGGGCCTCCCAGGGAACTGGTCAGCCTCCCATAGGACGGGTCAGTCCCTCGGGATGGGTCAGTCCCTCAGGGGACAAGTCAGCCTCCCAGGGGACAGGCCGGCCCTCCCAGGGGATGGACTAGTCCTCCCAGGGAACGGGTCAGCCCCCCACGGGATAGTTCAACCTCCCAGGGGATGGGTCAGCCCCCAGGGACGGGTCAACCCCTTGGGGCCAGGTCAGCACAGGGCCCACACCTCCCCTGGTATTTGAAGGGACTTTTTTCCTAGTCGAGGCAGAGACCCGCCAGGCCACAGATGGTCCCTGCCTTCTGCTCCAGCCCCTGACTCCAGCTGTGTTCTGTGAACTCCAGGCCTTCTGCCGTCTTGGGTCCTGACTCAGATTTCTCATTAAGTGCTAAGGGTTCGAGTTTCGTCATGCCGTTGACACACATTTTTTTCTCTTTCTTCATAAACACACTCATGAATGAGGGCTCTGTTCTTCCTGTTCGGTGTCCAGACCTCCTGCCTTACCCGCATCCCCCAGCTGCCAGGCCATGGGTGGGGGTCGGGCCAGGGGCCCAGGACAGGGGGGCCAGGAGGCGTTCCTGACAGGGCCGCTCAGAGCAGCACCTGACACCCAGCCTGGAGGTCTCCACAAAGTGCAGCTTATGCTTCTACTGCCTCTCCTACCTCAGGGTGCTCAGAACAGAGTTGGACCCGGTAACTTTACTGCAGGGTCTAGACGACCCTGCAGCTCAAAGGGCTCCCACGTGTGAGGCACCGGGAAGAGCTCAGGTTCAGAGTCTGGCCATGCGGCGTTCAGGTCCCACCAAGGCCACGTGCCAGCTCGTGACCTTAGACCGGTCGGTCGCCCTCTCAGCTTCAGCTCCCAAGCTGAGTTGGGCTGCCTCGCAGAGAAGGGGTGAGCCCCCCTGAACATAGTGACACTCTCCCTAAGGCAGACGCCTGGCTAACGGCAGTTGCCACCACTTGTGATACAAGTGTTTCCACTGTGTTAAGACACTGGTAAGAATAAGATGCGCCGTTGACTTCACAGTGCTTTGAGAGAAAGAAAAAGCCAATATGGCATTCAGGGTACTCTTGGGTCGCAGGAAGCTTGCATCTGAGCACTGAGGAAATGTGGCCTTGTGACTCACCTGTTATGGAGCTGTAGGCAGCGTCCTGGACTCCGGGGCCTCAGTTTTCTTGTCTGTAGAATGGGTGCCTTCTCTGAGGACCATATGAGAATTCAGGACAGTGGTACTTTCCAGTGCTGGCCCAGATGAGAGTTTTACATAGAGAAGAAAGAAGCAGATGATTCAGTGTGGAGTTGGGGGTCCTGGAAAGTGTTGTGGGGGACTACGGGAGCCATGCTGAGAACCTTGGCCATCCACTGGAGATGGCAGTGCTGGTCCCCGGGAGTTCAGGTCCATACGCCCACTCCACGAGCGGGCAAGGGTGATGTCTGAAAGGCAGGGACCCTGATCAGTCACCAGGTAATCCCACAGGAAGGCCCTGCAGGTCAGAGCTAGGCACCTCTGAATCGCCTGGAGAGCCTCAGCCAGGAAAACTGTTCCAAACGCGGGTCAAGGCCGGTGCTGATGAAGTCACCTGGGAGGCCTGGGCTGGTGGGACAAGGAAGGAACACGGACTCTGGAGCCAGCCAGAGCGGTCTGGGTCTGTAGTCACTGGGGGTCCAGCCCTGGCCTGCGGGGCACCAGTGTGCAAACCACGCGTTCCTTCATCTGCCTGTTCAGCCATTCTTCTGTCAGACTTGCTGCTCCCTCCACAGGGTCCCGGCTGCTTCCTGCCCTCAGTCCCTCTGAATCTGTATTGCCAAGTGCTAAAAGCAGTGACATCGAGGGGACTCTGGGGGAGGGGAAGGTTGCTGTGAAGCTCAGATGGGGTAGAGTGTGGAAACCTCTGGCACACCGTGGGGCCACATTGGTGGGGGCCACGGCAGGGGGCCACAACGATGGGGAATGCCATGGCGGTGAGGGCCATGGCAGTGGGGCACACTTCACATCCGCCCTCACCTGCTGCTGGTTACTCTTTGCAGTCCCTGGGTTGTGAGAGGCCTTGCTGGGCTGCAGCTCAACTGGAAGAAGTCCCATCCCTGGGGAACTTCTGGGGAAACGCAGGTGGATTTGGGGTGGTCCTAGTGACTGGGAGGCAGGGCTAGGGGACGTCATGCGTCGCCTGGAACAGTTCTGCCCCATCCAGATGCCACAGCTCCGCTGAGGAGATGCCAGAAGTTTGATGCAGGAAAGGGGGGTGCTAGGGGCTGGCCACCATGTCATACAAGGAGTGTCTGAAATAGCTGCACAGCCGAGAGGGACAGGGAGGGTGGGAGCAGTTCTGGGTCCAAGATGAAGCCCGTGAACAGTGCCAGGTGCCTGATGAAGACTGCGGTGGGATCGACTGACCTCACCCATTGGTCTCTGCACCTCACCCAGCTCCTCTGACCCCAGGCCTCTCCACCTCCACTGCCTCCCTGTGGGGCACAGGGTCAGAGTTGGGTGCCTGGGGGAAGGCAGGGGGGTTGGTTGACTGAACATTCTGGCTTGGGAGGTCATCAGACTTGGCCCAAACTCCATCCCGCCACTTAGCCACTTAAATTAATGCGGACTGGTTACTCCATCTCTCCAAGCCTCAGTTTCCCCAGCTGTAAAATAAGAGTCATGATCCCTGTCGGTGCACTCTGGTTCTCAGGGCTACTTTGAGAATTAAATGAATACATGTGCGCCAAGCATTTGCCATGGTGCCTGGTGCCCTACAGATGCTGGATGGCTTCAAATGATGCACATATGCGTGTGTGTGTGTGTAGATGGATCAGTTGATCCATTGTTGGATAGATCTGTCTGGAAAATTTAGAATGCCGCTTCTTGGGGCACGAGCTCACTCTAGACACTCAGAGCACCCTGGAGGTCAGTGGATCTGCTGTACACCCTGGAAGGTCCCTGATGGGACGA